ATATTGTTCAATAATTGTGATCATTGATTTAACTTGTATACCTTGGCATTTCCGCCGTCGGCCGGGGTGTGACAAATTGATATCAGAACTATTTGCTATAGCGATCTAGTACTTTTGTAATGTCCACGTTTTTCAAACCAAAATTTTCATTTCTATTTATTCAAATATATCAGAGTATAATAATTACATTAAGCGGAAACATGTTGCGAATGTACATGTGTACAGTCTGGCCTTGCCTTTCTCACAAGTCATTGGGGTACATGAAAAATATTTATATTCAACTGGGTAAGCACGAAACTTAGTGAGTTCTCCAAAATATCATATACCACAATACATATACATATACACAAACAATGGCTCACGATCTCCCAATAATATGTGTACTTACGGCCTACACGTCATTTCGTTAACACGGGTCTGTGTGTACTTACGATCTACACGCAATTTAGTTAACGCATGTCTATGTGTACTTACAGCATACATGCCATTTCGTTAACACGAATCTATGTGTACTTACGGCCTACACACCATTTTGTTAACACACATGCCTATAGCCTCCCGACCTTTTTAACTAGTCCACCATCATCCCCTAGGTAATTCTAATATCACAACAATTACGTACATAAACTGCACTATAGATTCTACTAGTATAGGTACATTTATACTTTCTACTCTACTTAAGCACAAAGAGATTATACTGTTAGTTCTTACTCTACTAGCTCTCTATCCTAACATACATGGATATATAGTGTACTACATGGTATAGTGAGATAACTCACCTAGACAATTACTCAAATGATTGACAACTATCTGGGTGATTCTACTGGCGATCCAACTGGCGGGTAACACGCCTAACGAGTATTAACCTATAATATTATTACTTAATTAAACTCTATGGCAATATGGTAATGAAAGTTTGATCTTTCATTAATCCCAATGAATACTGAGATTTCTATCAAATAAGGATTAACTAGGTAGGAAAGTTAAGAGACATGACCATTTCGGCATATAGCCTTTCTGAAATCTAACAACCAAGCCAACATGACCATTCTAGACATTTCTCTCATAAGTATATCAATCAACATTATAACTGGAATTACTGATAAATCGTATTTACATATTCATAACAACGACTATGAATATAAATATAAGTTACACTTAAAACATAGTAAGCATAGCCTAACTTACAAACAATATTAAGCAAAAGTTAGAAAAATCGCAGGCAGAACTTCGACCCGAGCACCTCAAATTGTTGGACCCTTTGACGACTCAGGGCTCTGCTTAACTATTTTTAAAACTCTAGAGGAAAACCAAACTTGAAAGGAGAATCGATTCAGAGAGAGTTCAGAGAATTGTGAGAGAAAAATTTAGGCATGGGCTGCTATTTATAGGCAAATTCCTGAGACGTGCGCCATGCCTATAAGGATGCACAACGTGCACTTCTGTTTACATCGATCCTCTGAAATGATGCCACATGTCAGCTTCTTTATGGTCGCATTTCCACCTTCTAGAAGCATGCGTCGCACATTCGCGCGTGTGGCGCAAAAAGTGAATTTTGTAAATTACGTAACTTCTTCATACTAGATTCGTTTTCAATGTTCTTTATATTTTTAAATTTATATTTTTATAGGCTTAGGCTGTTAAAGTCCATATAAAAATCATAACTCTTTCATACGATATTTATTCTCGACTGTCTATGTACTAATAGATTGGTGTTGACGGGATCTTCAACTCTCGTTTGGATTGTTTTTCCTAATAATCAACTGTTCTTAATTTCGGTTATATATATATATATATATATATATATATATATATATATATATATATATATATATATATATATATATATATAAGAATAAGCTAGTCTTATCGCTAATAGGCCTCATTCACGAAGCCGGTCTATAAGGGGGGTATAAGGTTGTTGTCCATAAAATGACGCTTAATGGGTGTCCACTCTCACGCACCGCTTCCTTGATTTGTGGAGGGTCGTTAGCCGAACGGATAGGATAAGACATTTAATTCCTCATTATAACTATAATGAATATTACAAGTAACTAAATGTTTTTCAAATTCTCAATCTTAGTTACTTTAGGGTAAAATGTGAAAATCATGCTATTCCGTGGAATTACACTTTGTACCCTTGTCGAACGTTAGTGGAGCGTGTGTAGTTAACTGACACACTAATTTGGGGTTGACATTGGTGGCAAAGGGTAGCTCGATGTTTATCATAGATCAATGGAGTGTGTGTGGCTAATCGACACATTGATTAGGTGATAGTGACATTGAGTACACCATGTTGATTCGCATGGTTATTCACACCTTGTTAGTGATCCTCGGTATCCCAGTCGCAAACTTGATGGGCATATCGAGATTTAAACATGCCATTGAAAAATTCAATGAATCTCAAAGATCTAGGAGTTTTCAAAACATTTAAAACTTAAGCTTCTTTTGTTTTTCATGGTGGAAAATTATTGAATCGTCATTCACTTACCTTCAAATTATTTGCTTTTAGATTACGGCATCCATTTTCTAAGTTGTAAATAATATTGTTGGATCGTAGCCCTAATTTCTCATTGGGTGATTAATTGGGGATTCATTCTATTCAAACTTGTCCTTTTCTATTTTCAGATGTCTAACGCAAACAACAACAACGCTCCTGCAGCTACTCATGGATTCTCACTCATGAATTTGTGTGGGAGAGTGATCTTTAATGGCAACAACTTCAACGAGTGGATCCGAAACATTTGGATGATCACTCGCTATGAGGGCAAGGAGCATGTCCTCGATGAGAAGCTTGAAAAGATCGATCCAGAAATTGCCACTACTAAAGAGATCGCTGCCTATGAGGCACATAAACGTGATGCTACGAAGGTTCATTGCATCATGCTCGCGACTATGAATGCAGAACTCCAAAATTCCTATGAGGATATGTATCCATTCGAGATTCATCAAGATTTAATGGATAGGTATCACCAAAGCACGAGGCAAGAGCGCTATGAGATCATTACTAACATGATCACCGCTAGGATAGGGAGTGGAGAATCCCTAACCTCGCATCTGCAGAAGATGTAGAGGTATCTTGATTGTCTTCTAAAGTTAAATGCTAACTTTGATGAGGATTTGGTTATCCACATCATCCTCCACTCCTTGCCTCCATGCTACAACCAGTTCAGAATGACCTGGGCTGAAATGCAAGCTTTTCCATTCAGGGACCAATTCTACCAACAACTTCGAAGCACTATAACTTCTTCGTTCTAAGTCCGTTTTCGACGAACTTTATATCCACGAAAAGGTGGCATGAAGACCTACTCTCCTAGCCACACCCCAAGCCTTAAAACCTTTCGAATAAAACCCGATACCCATAAAAGACCGAATCGTCAGATTACGCTTATACCCTTGGCCTCCGAAGACACAATCGAACACTTTCAAAACCTGGTGTTATAATCATAAAGACAATCATCTCTACTATAACTAGCTACTAGTGGGCCGACATTGGTAACTTCGATCCACTTCTACTAGAAGGTAACTCACCTCAAATGCTGTAAAGTAGTTGAACAGTCTCCGACTCTGAAATTAACCCAACTCAAGCTCCTATACTTAAAAGATTTCCTTAGTTATCCTTTCATACTCATAACCCCCTTAAGGGTCAACTTGGTCCAAGTCCAAGTCAAAGTCAAAGTCAAAGTCAACTTCACGAGTTGACTCAACTTGTCGAGTTCACTCATCAACTCGTCGAGTTCCCATAAATCATTGAATCGTGAAATTACGATCAAACTCGTCGAGTTTTGCTTCAACTCATCGAGTTTTGCTTCAACTCGACGAGTTCCTCCTACTTAACAGAATCAAGACCTTCCGGTACAACTCGTCGAGTTCCCTTGTGGACTCGTCGAGTTCCTTCTATCTTCAGAAAGTTAATAAAACCCTAGCCAACTCACCGAGTCATCTTTTCAACTCGCTGAGTTTACTCAATAATCAAAAAGGTCGGGGGACCACGATCCAACTCGCTGAGTTGGGTAAACAACTCGTCAAGTTTCCTTAGTCTTAACTCATTCCATCCCTTCCAAGCGAGTCTAATGCCTCCAAACCATAGATCTGGTCCCCTTGGGCTGAGATACCACATAAAGTTGCTAAGTTTACGTCCATGCATGGTAAAACCCTAAACTAAGCTTTATAAAAGACGTAGGGCATGGAGGAGGACCAAGACTTGATAAAGCTGGCAACTATAAGTCTCAATAGGCCATGAAATGACTAGATTTGAAGTCACAACTTCATAACGTGTTCAACTCCATAAATGACACCAAAACAAGCTACTAAGACCATAAACTTCTCAAAGAAGAGATCTAGCAAATAAATAGTCTAGGTATCGACTTTATACCTCCAAATGGTTGCCAAAACACTGAAGATCCTGGATCTAAAGTTCCTCCCTTTGACCTTGCACCACCAACTTCATACTCCTTCAAGAAAAACACCAAAGAACACTTTTAAGGCTCACTCACACTCAAAATGGGGAAAGAGGCACGATTAGGGTTTGCTCTAGATTGAGGGGACGATGAGGATGACCACAATGAAACTTTAAGGCTTTTAAATAGAGTGCAAACTCCTGAAAACCAGGGTTTCATTTCTGCCAGCCTACTCGTCGAGTTGAGGCCTCTTAACTCGTCGAGTAGGTTTTTTAACCCGCGTCCCAAATAATTCCTACTCGACTAGTTTGGGGGCTCCCAACTCGTCGAGTTCCTCTATAAAAGTGCATCAATTGTGATTTTAAATATGTACCAGAAACTAGACGTTACAATAATAATAATAATAATAATAATAATAATAATAATAATAATAATAATAATAATTAAAAAGAATTAAAACAAATCAAATCAGCGTAAAATTGGAAAATAAAAGTACATGTAGAAACCCTGTTACAAATCCGATGCGACCAAACAGATCTAGTTTCCATCGGAATTTTATTTATTGTTTATTGTTGTCTTGTTGAATCGAGAGTGGTGCGATTAGAAATCACATTTGATCCATAGTGGCTCATCAAATCGACCCAACAACTTATCCCCGGAATTCACCAACTCAGGAACAGGAACAGGATGCCACGTGGGAGTCCCGTTTTCATATCCATTCCAAGTGAGCCTCCGCAGGCCGCCGGTACCATCCAAACGGGTGACATAAAGGTCTCCGTAAGGCTGGAACTGATTAGGTAGGGAAACCGGGTCCGACGTTACTCCGCCTATATTGGAGGTGAACAACAACCACTCCCCATCAGCACTGAAGCACACATGGTTTATCCTTTCCCTATCCACCTCTTCAGACCCTTCAGCTCCAGCCACGTAGATCCTACGTGTATTGCTCCCGTCTGGACTCATGATGTATATGCTGAAAGCTTCTGCATTGTCCGGATTGTGTCTGTTGGAAGAAAAAGCAATGAGCTTCCCGTCAGGCGACCAACTCGGCATTGTGTCAATCCATGGTCCCTCCGTTACCTGTCGGATGCCACCGTTAAACTTATATTCTCCTTCCACGGCGTCCATTACATAGAGGTTTTTGTGGCCCGACCGCCCTGATCGGAATACCACACTTTTCCCGTCCGGTGAACACGAAGGAAAAGCGTTGTTGCCTGTCTCCTCTTTCGTCAGAATCTTGATTTCAACTTCAACATCATCTTCTCCTTTTAAATCAAAGGATATCCGTGCAATTTGCACCGTCGATTTCACAGAATCAAATATAGGCCCTATCGACGTGAAGAACACGTTTTTCTCCTTGGGGCTCCATGAGTTGTAGAATGATGTTCGTCCCTTCAACAGACTCCACCTCTTTGATCCATCTGATTTCACAATGTCAACACCTCCATTTGAGTCCAAGTCAGGATTGAAGGCGATCAGATCTCCGGCTGGAGACACTGAAGGGAACGACCCATTTACCCTCACCATTCCAAGACCCTTAATCGGAGATGAAATCAGGTTTAAGTGTGGAATTATAGACTCACCATGTCCTGATTCGCCTCTAAACCGATGATAACCGAGGAACCCCGACTGCGAAGAAACAAATGGGTTGTAGTGATTAATATTAGGATTCAGAAACTTGGTTACAGGATAAAACCTGCCGGATTCCACATCCAAGATTTCGATATGGCGGTAAATATCGCCCTTTCGGCGAGTCGCGACAGCAACTTGTGGTCGGTTATGCATAGCAGCCGGCGTAAAGCAGTGAACACCTGGAGGAGTGACACGTTGAGGAGCAGGAGGTGGAGAAAGATCAAACTTGGAGGGTAAGTCGAGTCTGAAAATGCTCCACCAGCCATCGTCGGCTTGTCGGTGGAAGTAAATCACAGAGTCGCCCGACCATGTAGGCCACCCACCTTGTGAACATACGAGCCAGCGATTTGTGGGGTCTGAAAGACGGAAAACAACGATATCCGTTTCGAGGTGGTGAAATTCGCCGGCCCAAGGGCGAAAACCATAAGAGGCAACGGCGACGAGATCTCCGGATTGAGAAAGGGATGGACTATAGTCGACACATCCGTAAGGAGTCAAGCGAGACAGGGTTTTAGCATCAGCAGCGTCTAATTCTAATCGGAGGGTGTAAAGGGCGGACCAGCTTTTGAAGGGTGCATCAGAGGGTTCGTGAGCGGATATGAAGTAAAGACGTCCGTCTCTAACGATGGGGCGGTCATGGAAGAGACTTATTTCAGGTGCAGAGTAGGGTACGGGGTCTGAATCTAGATAGATTTGGGACGATCCACTTCTCTCGGAAACATAAACCAGGCGGTGTTGTTCATCAGGGCCAGTGAACTGAGCATTGAAATTGACAGAAACACCGTCTGTGAGGCGGTGCTCTGAAAACTCTTGGAGATTAAGTGACAGTGGAGTGGAGAAAACATCGAACCCATATTGGGGTCGGCCGACGGTGGTGAAGACGATGGTTCCTTTAGGTATATCCATGTCCATATATGAATTTCGTATTTTTTATATATAGTAAACAAATGGGGTGGAAGATGAAAGATGATGAGCAGCAGATCAACTATTAGCACAAATACAGATACACATAACATGGCATTACAGCCGCAGGAGAATTCAAATTCCACTTCCCCACCTTTTATATTTTTGTTTTTTTCCTTTCCTTGTTTATTTTCGAGTAAATTACACGAATGGTCCCTATGGTTTGGGGTAATTTGCAAGTTTGGTTCCTAACTTATTTTTTAACTCAGAAGGTCCCTATTGTTTGTTATTGTTACACGATTGGTCCCTATTTTTTGTTTTTGTTACGTGTTTGGTCCCTATCTTATGTAAAAAGACAGCTATTTAAATAGGGAAAAAATTGTAGGGTGGGTAAGGTAAGGTGAGGGGATCGGGTTGGGGGTGTGTTTATTTAAATAAATTAAAAAATCAAGAGAAAAATAGACTTTTTATGTAAGATATGGACCAAACGTGTAACAAAAACAAACAGTAGGAACCTTTCAAGTTAGAAAAATAAGTTAGAAACCAAACATGCAAATTACCCTAAACCATAGGGACCATTTGTGTAATTTGCCCTTTATTTTCGGTGGTCAAAAGCATCCATCTTGCTTTTACATTGATAGCCTTTCCCTCATAATCAAGTTTTTTAGTTCATTGAAAATCAGAACACAAAAATAAATTATTTGAAAATCTGAGTCATTAATATTTGACGGTAAAAGCCTCCTTTGGGTATTTAGAAACTATAAAATTTCACAATATTTGTCTTTGATTTGAAACAATAAATATAATAAATTCATAAGAAAATTAAAAAAATAATAAAATATTATAATGCAAATGTTCTTTTATCTTTTAAATTTAAACAAATAATTTAAATAAATAAAAAACTATTGATTTTTAATTTTGAGAATTTTGAACCTAAAAGATAATTTTATTAATGAAATTGATATCAATTTAGTACTACATTTATTGTAATTATTACATTAAAATATTATGTGAAATTTAATAAAATAGAAAAATTCATAAAATAACATGTGAATTTTTTTTAAAAATAATCATAAAATAAAATTTGACAAATTGAACGAGAGAATGACAAAGGAAAAAAAAATTATTTATTAAGAGAGGATTGCATATAGATTGGATCACATTTTTTTTTTTTTTTTTTCAACCGGGCCAAAGAACCTAGTTTAACCAATTAGACTATTCAAAGAAAGCCCAGATCGAACTGATCTGACCTAAGAGTTCAAACTTTATAAGTGAATAACGAATCTCCTATAATAAAAATTTGATACATTTTTATTTACTTATGAATAACAAGAGCTGAATCTATAAAAAAAATTATTTTATTAAAACTATATAAATATTGATATCTATTCATAGAGAATAAAAAATTATGAATTTTGATATAAATAACTTTTTAAAAATAAAAAAACACAAAAAAAATTATGTTTTTGTATATATTAAGGTAATGATTAACATGATTTAAGAAAACATGTTTGGTTTGAACACACACGTGTATCTGTTGCCATTTTCGCCGGTATACCAAGTGTTTTGCGAAAAAATAAATGTGTTCGAGATTGGTTCCTCTATTCTCAACATTTTTTTCGCAATTGAACCATCCTCTTTCTCTCTCTCTCTCTCTCTCTATATATATATATATATATATATATATATATATATATATATATATATATATATATATATATATTAAAATAATCATCATTTTATGTAATTTTACATATTTTAAAAGCTTTTAGGTTTTTTTTTTACTAAACCATCATATAACAAATAAAATTACAACTTCCAGCTATCAACTACTTATTACATGCTACCATCCAACAACTAATTTTGCTAAACACACCCTTAACAAAAAAAACTTCATTTGAGAGTACGAGCATTTAGCTTTTAGTTTAAATGCAATGTCCCAAAAATACTAGCAAAACTTTTCATTTTCAAAACACCATAACGATACAACTATTTGTTTCCAAAACCAATTAACATATAAAATATCCTCAAACATCATAGTGAATCAAATAAATAATGCGAAATAGACTTCAGGGGATGTTGTGTGATAATGTCGGGCCATTTCCTGTGGAGCCAGAAGTACCTGAAACATTTGAACCACAAAAGTGTAAGCATAAAGCTTAGTGACTTTCCCAAAATACCACATAACCATATGGGCCCCACCCATATAAATAACTAGCCCTGACCAAATAGTATAACGGGCCCCACCCTAACTCATATAATGGGCCATGCCCAAAAAGTATAATAGGCTCGACCCTAACTCATATAATCGAACCTACCTAAAGAGTATAACGAGCCTCGTCCTAACTAATATAGTAGGCACTGCTTAAACATACATGCAAGAGTCACAAAGACAATCTAACACTCTACATAGTATAGTGAGATGACTCACCTCACCAACACAATCAATAGATAACAGGCTCACACAGTCGACAAATGGATGCCATACAATTCCTAATGAATCAAACACGCTAAACTCTTAGTCTACCTTCTTTAACTATCCATGTCACACCCCCAAACCAGAATGTCGGAATCATTCGAGGGCGGATGACTTCATGTAGTATCGTAACAATTGAATACACATAGTAAGAAAGTAATACAACCATCATATATATAATTTAAAAGTTTACATTGTTGAAAGGTACTTGTTTCAAAACAAATTACAATATGATGTCAAAATGAAACTAAACTGACGCCACAACGTCCCTTCTTCAAAAGCTGTTTGTTTACCTGTTTTACTGAATTCCTAAGAAATACAAGCAGTTTTGAAAGAGTAGATAAGCATTTAAGCTGGTGAGTTCATAATTATTTAGTAACAATGTTTGTATGAAATAGAATGAAATGGTTTGTACAAGTTTGAATATTCCTAGAAAATCCCATATTTTCTACTATAGTAGATGGTAGTTTAATTGTTCCAAAACTTGTAATGCAATAGTGTTTTTCATGCCTAAAATAGTAGATTATTGTATAAGTCACTAAGGAATTTGAAAAACCCCGTAAATCAATGTGTTTTTAATATTCCATGTGAGTCTTATAATCATGCTATTTGACCAGGATGCCTATAACAACGTTCTTCAAGCGTTGGAAGGTTATGACGTTTGTCACCCCAGGCCTACTGGCCTAGCTGTAGCTAACAACTTAGGTGTGTGATTGTCAATCCCGTATAGATCTATACACAAGTATTACGCTCCCCCTACAAGGGATTTTGGTATATAATAAAGGACTTAAAATGCATACTCGAAAGTACGTGAAATGTCTCACAAAACTTAGTATAAATCAGATTTACGTACCAAAATGTCCATTTGTTCTTGTGTATGAAAATATCTCTTTGATATAGTGTTTCTAGTATGTAAATGTTCATGAGTTTCTCGTAAACTATACCTATTATAGTTTTTCAAAATTTGTGTTTCGTTCGTATAGAAAACCCTAGTGTAATGCTCACTTGTTATGTAAAGTATAATATTTATAGTGACATAAATGATCACATATACTTAAAGTATAAATAAAGTGTTTGATTCGTGTATATATATAAACATGTTTTATTTCCAAAAGACAAGATGTTATCGAGAATATATATTGCATACGAAGGTTCCCATGTAGTAGTTATGAGTCACATATGATTTACTTGATAAAAAGAGTATATAGTGAAACTTTATGTTACACACGATAATAACCGTGTGTTTACTTGTATTCCCCCCCCCCCCCCAAAGTGTATAAAAAGCATTGATAAAACATTTGAAAGCGTAGTTTATAGGGGTATGAACTCACTTGATAGATTGAAGAAGGTGAGACGAAAACCGAGCAGAACTTTGACTCGAGAAAGCGGATTTTCTCGGGATTCTCAGGAATCTTGGGTGCGTAAACTTCCTTCGGGGCTTGGGTATGAAAACCGGGGCTTGGGGATATTTCTTGCACACAAAACGGAGTAAAAATGCAAGAGAAAGAGAGGAATTGAGGAATTTTACCCGGAACCCTCGCATTCCTTTTATAGGGGGCTGAAGACCCTCGGTACGTTGGGCGTACGAGGTTACGCGGGGCGTACGCGTACGTCATGGCTTACCGCATCCTCGTCTTCCGGACTTCGGATGGGACTGCATAGAGGCGTAGGGGCGATGTGGACGATCCGATGCCTAGCACTTGAGTACGCTGGGCGTAACTCGAATAAGTCCGGTGACTCCTCCTTTGGATAATACCGGGTTTTAAATTAAAATTTATATTTTAATTATTTAATAAACTTCAAAAATTCATATCTTTTTCATACGAACTCCGTTTTCGACATTCTTTACATCCACACGTAGGTGAGACTACGCTTTATAGCTTTCGTTTAGACTCCGTCGGCAAATTTTGAACTTTAGTTTTATTATTTATTTTTAAAAGGCCGGGACAGGAAAAGTCTGTTAACAATCCATAGCTTCTTCATCCGATGTCTATTTTCGCTAGACTTTTTACCGCTGAAATACCATTGTCAAGACCTTTGATTCTCATTTAGGTTGTTCCGGCCAAAAGTCGCTCGATCTCTGTTTTGAGTTTTTAGTTGTCTACTGTTATACCGAAACTTCGAAAATTTATAACTTCCTCAAACGAGGTCAGATTTGGGCATTCTTTTTATGTATGATCATGGTTTAATGATAACTACGACTTTTATTTATATACCTAAGGCTAATAAGTATTTTATTGAAAATTTCTCGTTTTACGTTTAACCGTATTGACGGTTTTTGTTGTGAATCTTTGGTTGGTCATAACTTCTTCGTTATGACTCGGTTTTCAGTGTTCTTTATATTTCTGAAAATCCTGACATGATAACTATCATTTTAGGCAAACCAATAGAGACTTTTGAATATTCTATTTTCGATGCTAATTTCATTATATCAAAAGAGATTACAAATTTTTGACTTTTTAGGTCATTACATTGATTCGAAATATCAGGTTGTCACATCATTCCCCCGTTAGAGGGAATTTCATCC